GGTTAAAAAGAGAGTGGAGAATTGAGGGGAAGGGCCCCTGGTCCCTCCGGTAAGTTTCTAGTGGTCCGTGGGTGCACACAGGTTTGACGAACGTGTGCACCACTGCCTCTAGCTTGGATTAAATTGACGCCAAGCACGTACACTTTATAACCCCAATGAAAATGGCCTCTTGCGTGCACCCATCGGCACAATATTTTTCTTTTATTATTATTTATTGGAACTGTCAAAATTGTTTATTTTTCACTGCGGAATACATTTTTTTTTTCATCTCTCGTTTAGGAAGGGCTTGGGATTTTTATTTTATTATAAATATAAATGTTTTCATCTGTCGAGGCACATGAAAAGTTTTTAGTTACTTGGTACTTTTGATTTGTAATTTAATGAGGTTGAACTCAATTTGAATTAAACATATTCCGCTGTCTTTTAAACAAAATTAAATTGTCAAATTGCGTTTTATCATTATTTGATTACTCATCATGTTTTATGAGCGTGTAATAGGTTCCCTGTATTTTTTGTAAAGTTTACATTAAATATTGTCGGGCATTAAATGATAAAATGTCAACATGGTATTTTTTTCGTCGATCCAAATGATAATTTTTCAAAAAACTAAACAAAACCATAAAGTTTATTCATAATTGGATTTCCAGGAGATTCAGAATTCAAGAAAATAATAATTGCAATAATAATAATAATAAAATAATAAAAGGATGAATATAAAGGATGTTAAGGCCAAAATTTTCTATGATCTAATTAGAGGGGAAAAATTCCCCAAATTGGCACCTTTTGCTCCCGCAGATGTGCCGGGGATGCGTTGACCTTGGGGTAATAGTAATGACTGCACGTGTAAATGAAGTATGGGATTGCATGAGATTTCCAATTGGAAGAGCAATTTCATGAGCTGCCCGTGTGGAATACTTATGCCTAGAATATATATCAATTATCTGCACATGTATATATAAAAATGGACACTACCAGAAATTCAAATGAATGAGTAAACGAATTGAATCGAAAATTCTGTGTAAATTTTGAGTCCAAGGTTGTTAAAAAAATTTAATTATTTTAATTTTTCTTTTCGAAATTGGAGTTATTTTGTAAGAGTGATTTTTCCAGGGGTTTTGTGTCGGTAAAATCGATCGGTCAATGAAGAATAGATATTACTGGAGATTTTGTCGTTGAATGTTGTGTTATCTTGTGAGAGTGTATGAATGGTATGTGCCTAGAAGTGAAACAGTACGAGAGGAGCCCCAGGTGAACGGTTGACCCGGTTCGACCTGTAGTGGGTATGGCCTAGCCTCTCCTTTTGGAATCGCTTCTTCCGCGTTGGAAAACAGGGTATGAAATACCTGAATTCTTTCGCTTTTCATTGGTATTTTCACTAGGTGAACACCAGGGCAGATATTTTTTGGATTCTCCAGGTCAGGAACTGGAGGGGACCCATGATGCCCAATCATGATAATTACTTCATCGGTGGATTAGAGAAACAATAGCAATCTGGCAGATCCACGCGAAATATTATTATCATTTGTCGGGCTTTAGATAAATAATCAGTTGTTCATCAGGGAGGAGTATAAATGAGAATTTTATTTGCAATTCAATTTGATTGGTTTTTGTAAGCATTTGATGGAGAAATGAGTGAATAATTTGGGGGAATATATTCTTGAATTATTACATAATTAAAAATTCATCTCATATTGATGGAATTAAATATGAATATTTGAGGTTCAAATTGAATCATCCTAATGAACTCTCTATTAAATCAGAAATCCCCTGATTTACCATGAATTAAATTAAATTGCACTTCCTAAGACCTCGTCGTTCAACTCTTCATGAACTTTAAAAAAAGTTCTTCTGAAACTCCTGGAAAATTCCAAATGAAAAATGAAAAAACTTATCCTAATATCTATATCTTTAAAAACATCATTCCCCCAAAGTTTTGTTAAACACTGATTTATCTCAAAAACCAGTGATTCCACGGAAAAATGTCAAAAGTGCTTTTCCACAGATAATTTAATCAGCTACAAAAAACTCTTCTACTGTTTCCACGTTGAGTCGATACTTCTCATGATAATCGGATAATCGATAAAAATGGTAATTTGGAGAACTCAAGCACTTCATTACTGATTTTATCGCAGTGAGAAATAATTAATTTTTTTATCGACAGCCAACGCGATAGGGTAGTACATAGAAGACTTATGTACAGGGTTATGTAAAAATTGACTCATGAGTTTTTTTTTTGTTATTTTATATGTTTGGAGGAAGGGTTGTTGTCTGATGAGGCGTTAGAGAATTGATTCCAGTGGGAAGCATTATGGGGAATCGATGGATTTATTAACAGATTGGGATAGAGTAATTTGTTATGGGGTTTGAATGGTTTTTGGAAGATTGTGGTGCCCTCGATGCAAAAAGCCCCAGGTGGTACCCATTGAAAAGGAAAGACAGCCGGCCAGCGAGTGCACGCGATAAAATTATTTCGTGGGTTCTTCTCCCCCTTTTCTGCATGTGTCGTTGCCCCCCGTTTTCAGGCTCTCCCCCAGGGTGTTCCCCATTTTTAGTTTTTTTTTTTTTCATTCCAATCGTACGTTTGGACGAGTCCCTCCAAAAAACTAGAGAAGACCTGAAAATTGTGATCTTTTCTGGGTAAATCGCCATCGCCATTTTAAACTGGTAATTAGTAATCTAAAATTAGGATTAATTAAACCAATTTCGTACTTTTTTTAGAATGATGATATACTATGTTTATGAGTGGCAACAGGAGACGAGGTGATTTTATTCTAGGCTCAGATTTTCGGAAATATCTCCGAAAATATGGGACACGGCGATATTTTTGTTTAAACCTTTTTTGTAGAGATAATCGAGAACTTGGGAAAAGGTTATTACGAAAATTTCAGTAACTCTTTTAGTTTGGGCGAAATTCTCGAAAAACTTTTAAGGTTTTAAAAATGAGGAGAAACTAGCAACAGTTGCTGAAAATCGGTGATTTTCATTGGAGAAAATGGTGGAAAATCATGGAAAATCATGGGAAATTGATGAAATGTTGATTAATCATTAACACGACTTTGCAACATGAATTCGTTATGGAAATCGTTGGTTTCATTCAAAATGGCAGTTGCGTGGTACTCGAATTGTTCATTTGAACAACTGTACTTCCTTTGTCGTTGGATTTTTTGGGGATTAAGATTATCGGGGAGAACCACTCGTTGTTAGTGTGATCGTTAACCAAGTGGAAATCTGGGCCACCCGTGTCTGAGAACTAGTACATTGAGCTAGTGCGCAGGTGCACTAACACCTTTTCCACCACGTGCATCTCAACGATCATCGATTTGACAATCCTTTCACTTGATTAGAGAATACGTACACGTAAACTCATATTTATTATTCCAACAATCTATTTGACAGACTTTTCGTCAATTGCCTTACAGTCGAATTCCAAACAATCCGGAATTTTTCGGGATTTTCCACTGATTTTTATTCTAGGGAAAAATTCATCCGATTTTCCAACTAAATTCGGGATTCATGAGGATTTCACTATTTCTAGGATTCGACTCCTAACGTGTTTATCTTCGCCGAGAATTTCCACATCTTGTGGATTTTACCGGATCCCATTATTTTTTCTCTACGAAATTCAATAAAAAATTGAAAATTCTCTGCATTAATAAAATGAATAAATAAATAATAAATCATAATAATTGAATAAATTGCATTGTCAATTTTCTCTGACAAAATTCTTGGAAACAGAAATTATTCAATTCATCCAAAAGATCTCAATCCAAAAAAATTTAAATCGAATGTAATTTCAAAAAATCTTCTGTTATACCGAGTAACAATTTTTTTTTAATAAAAAAATCGATCCCTCAAAACCCATTCCCAACGGAAATTCTATGAATACCTGAATTGATTGGTGTAATGAAATTATGGGTTTCCTAGTGTCATCCCATTAATAGTAATTCAATAGACAATAATTTCCCCATCGTTATAAAAATTTGACTATTAACGCGGGAGGCTCGCCCACCCATTCAAATTATCGATTTTCCTAGTGCTGATAGTGTGTTGATACACTATTCATGAATGAATACCTATATGATACCTCTGAGTGATGAGCAATTGATGTTTAACAGAATTTCTCAGCATCTGATAATCCGTTATCTTACGCGATAAATGATTCTCGGTTTTTTTTTCCACCCTGGATATATGCATTCTGTCGATAAGTCTTTTTTTTATCGATTTTGTTTTGTAATTCTTCTCTTTTCTCTGTTTCAGGTATAATGGAGTCATGGAGCGGTCATTTACTATGAGTTAAAGCCCTGTGATTTATTGTAAGTGCCCAAAATTATATTTATTACAAAGTAATATTTCCCGAATTATCGCTTAACGATAACTCTGCTGAAAAAAGTCCAATAATTTTTTGAACAATATAAAATTTATCCTAAAGAACTAAATAGTCAACTAATAAGTTAAATTATTATCATTATTACAAATCTGTGACGTTCAATTGCCAAAATATAATAGAAAAAGTTCTTGTAAATCACCAAACAATTAAACAAAATTTCCTTAATCACCGCTCTGTACCGAGAGCTATCGATTTGACGGGAAATCGTTAAGAGACTTTTTTCTAGCTGATTAAATTTCCAAGAAGAAAACTCTTTTGATAATTTCTCCTAAAATGCGTGATTTTCCAATAAATCTTCATCGAAGAAGACATTGACAAGCCCGAAAATTGAATTCTCTCCTTTGCCTAATGAATTTTGCTTCAGTTCAAACTCAGAGACAATTTTATTTTCATATATGGTCATAGGTGAGTGCAATCGGTTGTCCAAGAGGGATTTATGAAAATGGATAATAGAAAGAGAAATTACACGTCTGACAATTATCTCTGGAATACTCTAATAAAGTGAAATACATTGATGCGGGTTAGACAAACCCCAGCTACAGCTAGAATATTGTAAGGGGGGTAGAGGATGGTTTTGCTCTGCTGGCTCTGTATTGATTGCTGCTGGTGGCTTACCTCCACTTCCCTCCACCTCCAGAGGTTCCTCTCCTCTCACCAATGTACCTCCACATCGTCCAACTTCCCGAGGCATTGGTCCTGCATCCAGTCGCCATTCCCACTTGACATCACATCGATCCTCTAAATTTTCCCATTACACTGTTAGAAATGTCATCTGAACATTCAGTTATTTTAATTCTCATTCAATCTCTCTGCAACCATTTACTGCCCAAACTTCCTTTAAGATTATCTTTTGATTTTCTATTTCAATTTTAATTCACATTTTTAAACTAAATCCTCAAGTCGAATTGTTTATTGATCAGAGAAGTTATTGTCTGAATTTCTATGTCCCAGTAATTGAATGATTGATTGATTAAGGAGAAGGAGTTTTTAAGTCCATGTAAATTCTGACAGTTCAGAATCAAATGCTTCCAAGTATGTGAATGTATTACAACGTTTTATCATTTTTGTGGAAAACTTACTGAGGGATTGACTTGAAAAAATATAGCGTTCTTCTGCGTCATCTCGAAATTTTCAAAAAGAATCGCAGAATTGTAGAGAAAATACGAAACATCATGAGCCATTAAATAATGACAGAACGCAAAAACGTTATATTTTTCCCCATCAACCCTATCGATAATTTATCAAAAATTGAAAAAGCTTCAATTTTGGCAACATATGAGTGTGAAGCATCCTTAAATGTATTTTTAGGAGAATTATTATAATCAACTGAAAAAAAAATGGAATCAAAGATTTTCATCATAATTCACAGAACAAAAAATCAACTCGTAATTTCCCAAAAATGTTGAATTACTGCCAGATTTTATCAGTGGAAAGTTGAAAAAAAAAAACACTTTTAAACCCTTGAAAAGCGTTGAAAATCGATCGAACAATGTGAAATGAAAAAATTCTATATAAACGCGCCTTAATGTCACCAATATTTATATTAATCAGCTGGTTGTCAAGGGAAAGTGTCAGTCAGCTGATTGTCAGAGTGGGTGAATCCCATTGGCATTTATTAACACTGATGTGCTTGGCTACGATAGTTTTTTCAATTAATCAAGTATCCTGGTTGTATCTATTGGCAGGAGACTGGCATGGAGAAGGAGAACTCCGCGTCGGGCGGAGGTGGAGGTGGAGATACAACAGCAACAACGGCAACACCGGGCTCGGTAGCCACCTCCGTTTCTGATAAATTACAAGCGGATCAGGCTAACCCGCTCCTCGATCCCAGTGCACTATTCGGTGGTGAGTATTTCTTCCATTTTACCTCACCTTCACCCATTTTATTCAACTCCATTCAATTAATTCCCACCATTACTCCCAACGAGCAACAACACCCAATTAACTGATTCACAATAAATATCTCTGAATCCACCAAAATAACCTAAATTTTCATGATAACCATTTTTCAAGCTCTACTTTCACTCAACAAAATAACCTCTGACAAATATTTCGCCATCTCTCATAGATTCTGAGATATTCCCCCAAAACCAAGTAACAAATCCACTCTTTCTGGAGTAGCTATTCCATATCACATTTATCTGCTCATTTTCTCTGAATCTATCGAACCTAGCGAAATTTTTATTGATACCATATTTGTAGAGCTCATTGGACTCTACAAAAGAAATTCTGATGAAAATAGCGGTATCTCTCTTGGATTCCGAGATATTCCCGAAAAACTTGACTGCACTTGGTATATTGTACTTCCTTCTCTCTTGAATTTATTCAATTGATGATAAATTCGTCTGATTGATATCTTCTTATATCTCAATTGCTGTTGTTGGTAAGATCGTTGGGAAATTGATGGGAGAGTGATCTCGGGGATCTAATTATCTCGACAATAGTGAATCTGGCTCTGGATGGTACGTTATACCACACGTAAAAGCTAGTTCTGTATATTTATTGATTACCACCTCAGTTGGCCTGGCCCGGCTGCGGCACAGTCGTCGTTTTGCACCCCCTTTCCTCCCTTCCAGTACCACTGGGTTCCGTTTTAACCCCCCCATCGTCCAACTCTCTTCGCATCATTCTCCAACCTAGACGCTACACTGCACAGCATCCCAAATGCCGACATTGTGTCTCCAACGCCCATTCCCTCGGAAAACATCAATATTCTCGATATTTCTCCCGATATATTTGGAAAAAAAAAAATAATCCAACCAATCGCCCCTTCGTGGACCCCCAGGCACCCCCTCCATACCTCATCCATCATTATCAATGCTAATGCTTTGATTGAGCTTTAAGAATCAGGGAATGAAAAATTGAATTATTCAAAAATTCAATGTATTCAATTTTGGAATTTCATTTTTAATTCAATCTAGGGGAGGGCAGGGTAAAATGGATCTTCCCTTTTTTTCTTTATAATTTCCAAGTTTTTTCCTCATTTTTTTTATAAAGATGTCGGGTGGAGCAATTGATAGGACGATGCGTATTTAAATATTATAAATATAATTCTGTAGACTAAATTGAATTGATAAATACTTAAACAATGATATTTGCAGGAAGCAGAGATTAATGGTTGTTTATAGTCTCTCAATTTGGGAGCATTGGAAAAAAAAATGGTGAGAGGGAGGAAAGTCCATTTTGCCCACCTTACCCCTAAAATTTTCATTTTATCGAGGCCATTTAAGCAGTAAAAACTCTTGAGCAACGAGTTTCTGCTCGGAAGGTGCATTTTACCCTCTCCCCTATTGAGAAATTGCATAAAAATTGAATACTTCTTGGGTATTTCATTTTCTCTTTCATGAGTTGTTCTAATTAATCTTCGCAAAATCGAGAAATAAAAAATGGAAAGAGGGAAATGATATTTATAAAATAGGAATAGGTTCTGGGCTCAAGTTGATTAATAATGATTATTATTATTCATAACTATTAATGTCGATAATGGTTCGAGTGAAGTTAATGGTTTAATGGATTTAAATTTATTAGTAAATTTTTTGATTGACACTTTTTAATAAACGTTTGAATGGAGAATATAGAGCATCAATTTTTAGAATCGATATTAACTTCATTATTAGAACGATAATTCAAGCGAAAACTGTTAAAAAGTAATTTTCACGAGTGAGATTGGATTTTATTGAGGGGAAAATGCGTCGTAAAGTTTCAACCACCAGGGAAAAATTACTACCCAATTAACAATTTATTCATTCAAATTTCTCGGCATTCTATCTAACAACAAAGTCCATAAAAATGAGAAATATCCATGGATTTCTAAAATACGTTTTGCAAAAACTCAACAGAAGTTTCAGTTTTCATGAATTTACTAATTGAATTCTCCATCCATTAAATTCATCGATAAAATTTCCTGAAACTCCAGGGAAACTTTTCATTGAAAATCTCGTAGATGATTCCCTCCTTCCAACAGCAATAAAATTATTAAACAATTGGAACAATGCACTTGTGGGGATGAAGAATTTGCGTACTCTTATTTCGTTATCGGAGTCCGTGAGCTCCTCCCATCTCTCCCAGAAATGAAAAAGGCACTCTCTCTGTGTCTGTGTGTGGACAGAGATAAAAAGAGAAAAAGAGAGAAACAAAAATGGTAAAAAAGTGGAGATGAGGGTGAGATGTCCGGACTGGGCACATAGTATGGATTTTGGGGGATGAGGGCCTCCGGAAACGACGCGACAGCCGTGGAATAGAACCGAGATATAGAAAACGAAGAGGAGGTGGAAGAGAGCGAACCAATTGCAATTACGGAATTGCACTAACGAGAACGTCCTTTCCATCGAACGAGCCTTTCTTTTGCTTGTCTGGATTATTTCTGTGTCAAAGATCTGTCGAGGGTACTTGAGGGACTATTCGAGGTGATCTGCGATTATCGAATTTAACCGATTGCTATTAATCTATCTCCTTCTATTTTCATTCGATTCTTCCACAATTCCCTTTAAACTCAAAAAAAAACTAAATAGTGCAACTCATATCAGCAGTGAGACAAATTTCAGTTCCCAATTTTCATAAATATCGATCTGTCCCAAAAACTATTGATTCTAGAAGAAAATAATGAGAGAACTTTTTTATCGTAAATTTAATCAGTCACAAAAAAGTCCTCTCATGTTTCCACCTCAAATCAATAGATTTATGGTAAATGAGTCGTTTTTGCTCGTAGCTTTTGTTGATTAAGATCTAGAAATGAGAAGCAAAATATTAAAATTACCGGTTCTGTTTGATTCCCACAAAACACACGAGCTCTACCCAGCGAACTTATTCCCAATATTGATTATGCACGCATTTCCCCCCCTGAAAATTACATGGGTGGAAGGAAATTCCTCGCATTATACTGTACCGCCATTCGTACATACATCCCAGAACCATCAACACATGAGGTGGGTCGTGTGGATCGCATGTGCAAGACCCTCGTCCATGTACATCAAGAAGAGAACATGCCCTGGACAGCCCCTCGTCTATATTCTTCCACCCTAGTTGATCATATTCCCATGAAAAATTCCACTTGAAATTAAACCATCAACCGACGAATTAGAATTGAGCGTTCAGTTGACGTTCAAATTACATTGTGATTGAATTTAATTACAAATTATTTTAAAAATAAAGAAATTTGTGGAGAAAATTTCTCAGATCATCCTTGACTCTCAAGTGTGATAGCCTTGGCCAAGGCCATACCCATGTGTCAACATTAAATAGCACAATAATTAACAACGATTATTATTTTGCAGCTTATTGGCCACGTGGAGACAGTGCAGCATCGTCACTGTTTGGGGGCATGCCAGGTGGTTATGGACTTGGTGCTCATCATCTTCCGTCGGCCTACGCCATGCTAGGACGTGGTGGTGCAGCACCTGGTTTTGGTGGTCATACACCAGCATCTGCTCCACCACCACCACCGCCACCGTACTCTCATGCAAGTCTTGGAACCCTCAGTGTTGCTGCCAGTCAAGCAGCCAGTTTAGGTACATTAATAGATAACTTATTGATTTAACCGAAATAATATAGTTGGAGGAGCATTTGCTAGAAATTCCACATCACTCAATGATTCATTCTCTAAAAATACCTGAATCGGGAAATTATTGAACCTGGGGTATTTTATAGGTATTAATTCAGCAAGTGCAGCATGGTGGACAATGGCATCACATTTAGCAGCACAGGATTACCTGGCAAGGTTGCAGGGTGCTGCTGGTCTACCTGGTTTTCCCCCAGGTGCTGAAAGCCTCCTACCACCATATCCAGCATCATTGCTGAACCCACCGTCCCTGTCGTCCTCACACAAGTCCAGTAAGTGTAAGTGTACCCAATAATTTCACACTACTCCAAACAATCAAGAATGTTTGTCTTTTCAATTATTTTTAATAATATAATTCATTAACTTTTACAAGAACATCCTTGAAGGTGTCCTACACCCATATATAGCCAAAATTGATTTTTATTGTCATTTTTCTGGCCAACTTACTATGGGATTGAGTGAAAAAATGTAATGATTTGCGTTTTGTCATTATTCAATGACTCACAAAGTTTTTAAAAAAATCACAAAACTCCGTGAGCTATTAAATAATGGCCAAAGGCAAAAACTTTAGTTTTTATCACATCAATGCCATCGATAATTTGTCAAAAAAATTTAAAGAACGTGAATTTTGGATATACGTGGGTGTGGAGCATCCTTAACGACTCCACCTGATCACTCAATAAAACCATTGACCTGATCATTACAGCTAAGTCAAGTAAAAGTCATAAACCAACAGCGACCAGCAGCAGCAGCAGTACTACGAATAACAATAATTCCACAACACCGAGTACTCATACAAGTAGTTTGTCTGTAAGTCAAGCATCTGTAACAACGAGTCATCACACAACACCGACAACCAGTTGCAATACCACTACCACTCAGGCGAATGTCGTTAGGTAATCACTGAAGATTAATATATCATTATCACCTGAATATTGTTATTACAAGGAATATTACAATGATGTCATTAAAATTATACTGTCTCTTTCACGGTATTTAGTAGTCCTCCAGCGAAGGAAGGAAGGTGATTAATGTTCAAGTACTTTTTATTCTTTCGAGGATGTTTTATATCGAGCGATCAATATTATATCGTTTATTCATTATTATTTTATTATTTATCCATTAGAATTTTATCGATTTCATCAATTTTCGTCTGAGCATATCAAAATTCTTGAATCTTCATCGGGGAAATAAAGATAATTCATTACGACGAAAAACAATTAATAATTATTAATATAATTATTATAATAATTATAATAATTATTAATTTATATCATTGTCATAATTGACAGTTGTCAATTATTTATATAAAAAAGTGGAAATTGTGAACAGAATTCCCAATTTTATAAATTAAATGTGGGTGTTGAGTACTTGGGTATTTTTAAACAAAATTTATTTCCATTATTTTTTATTTGGAATTCATCTAATGAATGAAACTGAACCAGTTCTGATTTTAGTGATCCAAGCAGCATCCTGGGGGGCGTGAGACTTCCACCGGACACAGAAATCATTAAGTACACATCGAGTATCGTCGGGCCAAAGGTTCCAGGTACGACGAATCGCGGTAGGAAAAAGACAATATCATTAGATTCACCGAGTGTAAGTGTTCATCCACCTTCAGTGCAGGCACTCAGTGCTCATCAGACTACCCCAACTACCTCATCCCTGGTTATGGAGCCGAGGAAATTCAATCGTACACCAGTGGTAAATATCAACCTGTTTTCCAGTTGTATTTATCGAGGAAAATCTAAAAATCTAAAAATCTAAGAAAGATAGAGACATTTTTGTCAAGACCCCTTTTGCAGAGGGTGATGAGAGCTACAAAAAAGATTCTCATGATAATTTTGTTTTATCTTCTGGGTTTACTCATATTCCTGAAATAAACTCTTAATTAGTCAACCTTTATTTTTTGAATTCTCCATTTAAATTGTAATTTTGATAATTTTTCAGAGTGAATCGAGCGAATACAGGGACTCCGTGGATCGCGTGGAAGTGATAAAACTACCGGCCCATTCAACCAACGGATCAGTATTAACGGCTCCTCCATTGTACACCATGAGTAACACAACAAGCCACTCCGAGGCTGACGCACCCCTGAATCTGTCATTGAAGCCAGCATCGACGAGCAGCAGTTCACCGATATCTGGCAGTCAACCTCTCAGTCAACTAAGTAATCTCAGTCAATCGTTGTTGGCATCCGATCGCACATGTGAGTCTTATCGAGAATAATTATCAATTTTAAAATCTACATGACCCATGGAATTGATAATGTCTGATTATTTTAATTCAGCCCGACGAAAACCAGGACCGAAGCCACGACGAGTACCCCAGAATTCAGTGACTGTTCCAGCATCACCAAGTCCCTCACTAGCTCAACTATTCACTGCTGCTGACTCACCACAGCGTCCAAGCAGTGGAAGTGAAGAGAGTGAAACAACACCGATACACCATAAAGACGGTAGACCGAGAAATCTCGGACGTGGTGTATCGAAACCCAAGAAGAATACAGTGGCATCATTATTAGCGCAGAGTCGTGCACTGGGGATCAAACCAACCCCAACACTTGATCCAAATGTACCATTGTCCCATCAAGTATCGTTACTTAGATCTAATATACTCGCTGCGCAGTTACATGCGTCAGCGACTGGTCAAATTGACGAGAAAAGTCACGTATGTCCATAATTTTTTATATTTTTTTCATATTATTATTCAACTTTTGCCTCTCCATTTAATTTCATATTTTTTTCACATTTTTATTCCACTTTTGCCTTTTTATTTGATTTCAATCATTATCATTTACCAGATCGCTTTTTGTCTGGCATTGGCAATGGCATTAAATTCATTTTTATCAATGAAGTTTCATTTTATACTTTCAGTATCAGAATTTGTTATTTGTAGTTACTTTGAAGTAATTTACATTTATTTTCATAATGTTTTTATCGTTTTGGTTGATTTTTTTTTTCATTAATGAATACAACGCTCTCCAATGTAGCGTTCGTTGCAGGAAAAAATGAAAAACAAACTGCTTGAGGTTTCCGGTGAGGAAAGTAACATGGACGTAACGAGTGAGAGTGGCAGTAACACGGATGTCGTCACTGATACTGATGATGATAATGCAGATGGTATACCCAGTGCTAAAAGACGAAAATTGAATCCCAGTGAGAAAGATCTCCAGGTGCCTCTGGAGAGGGGCTGGAAGAGGGAGACTGTTATCAAAGGGCTAGGAAAGACTGGGGTCATCAAGGGGGATGTCACGTACTACAGCCCCTGTGGCAAGACATTCAGAAATAATCAGGATTTGTTTAAGGTTCGTTCATTCGCAGTTGAATGAAGTACAAAAATTGTCATGAAATTATTTTCCTTCAGTTTCTGGAAATGCAAAATCCCGCGGACCTGACGTCTGCCAATTTCTCGTACTCGTCGAAACCTCTCGTTGGAGAATTCCTCCAGCCGACGATGGGTCTGGCTGAGGCGGAATTTGTGAGACTTGGCTCCCAGGAAGTGGCACGAAGACTGGAGGAACTCAGGGCTGCCGGAGGATTCAGAGATGTCAGACCAACCAGTCAATATGAGAGGGACAAATTGGCTTATGCCAAGAAACTCGCCAAGGAAGAGGCACAGAGACATAAAGAACAGGCTAGGTATGAATATTCAATCATTTATCTAAAATAATTCGATAATATTGTAGAACCCAAATAACGCAGCTTTCATAAATTTCACAAATAATTCTAATCTGATCACAAATATTGAAAAATGAGAGACAAACTCTAATCCTTGTTTCATCCCCAGATTGATAAAGGAACAGGAAAAGACTGAGAGACAAGAAGCTGTCAGACGAGAGCGAGAGATTCGAAATCAGCAGCTTTTGGAGGTGAGTCACTTCTACCTCTGAACGAAAACTAACTCCATCACTGTTTTTTATCTAAAATCTTGTTGTTTTTTCATTCACATAACAAATTCCAAGGTGACTGTCCCAGTCTGACTCCCACAGAAAATCTATAAAATAGTGCACTCAAAATTGCATCCAAAATCACCTGATTAAATTGAAAATTAAAAAAAAAAACACTGGGACCCTCACCCACACCTTTCCCCACCTCTCGATATTTATCAATTTGATAAATTCAAAAGAAATAAACCAAAGAGTATTTAACTTTCGTTCACCTGCCGTGCGTGTCGCATGTTTTCTGTGTGTGCAATATTTACACATCTATTCCATAAATATACCACAACATTATCATAAATCGATGTAAAATATAATCGAATAACAAACGTCAAAGGCTGACGAGTGGTAATGCTGTCTGAAGTTTGTCCTGAACTTACAAATAATCACCGTTAATCCAAGGACACAGTGACACAAATCAAAAGGCGCTAGCAATAGTGACAGGAGAGCCCAGCATGTATTTTCGTATTATGTTTCCCCGTTATTATCAAATCCCCTCTTTAAAATTACCCAAAACCCCCCCTCGAAAAAGTCTCAGAACAGACCACGTGTGCTGCAACAATCGCTTGAATTTTTATTTTCCCTACCTCAGAAAATATAGCGAAGAATCCCTAGGACACTTTTTTTTACTATTTTCAATTAATAATTCACACAACACACCATAATACACCCCCGACACAATGCAACAAAATTAATTATACAACCGACGAGTGGACGAACAGAAAAAAATGGAATTCTTCAAAATTCCCTGAAACAACTCATGATTTTTTCGAATTTATCAGGATTTTCTCTCGAGTCTTCTAAAAAAAATTGGTAATTAATCAAATTGATAACAAAATTAATTTAATAATTTAGAAGAATTCTTGAAAATTATTTAGAGATTCTCGTATTTTTTCTCATTTATTTTCAAAAAAACCAATTGAAGCGAATTATCCAGAAGAATTGAAAACAATGATTGACATTAAAAAATGAAACTGAAAATTTTCTGAATTGCATCCTCTCGAAGGCTATTTATCTGAATAAGCCACACACCCCTAATACACCCCCCGAGAACACGATCCAATAAAAAAAAAACTAGAACCGACGAGTCGACGAAGAAAAAAAAAGCGAAAATTGGTGCAGGGACGGAAGAGGCTTGCATTCACGATAAAACAGAAGATGAAGATCATTCAGGAGATCGAGAGAGGAAAAAGCAAGAGCGATGTGGCACGTGAATTGGGCCTTGCAAGCAGTACAGTGGCGACCATCTGGAAAAATCGTGTGAGCATTGCTGAGAGCTGGAGAAATCGTGATATGATGCAAACCGACAACGAGTTGGAGCTCATCGGGAAGAAGAGTATACTCACGAATAATCCACTTGTGCCACCAATTTCAATGTCAACCCCACCGATAACTACCTCTCCTTCGTCAGTAATCGCTCTGTCAAGTACACCTTCGTCAACGTGTAGCTCAATACCCTCGTCACCGTCACTCAATTCTCAGGCAACTGCCGACGCCCAGCAGCCACTGACACAAACGCAAAACCAGGAACTCCTGGAGGTAAGGATTTACCCCCCAAAAAACTTCCTGCTAAGCCAACGTTCCAACTGCATTAGCTTTCTAATGAAGTGGAATTATCAGGGACGTAGAGGAAAATTTCAAACAATTTACCCTCCCAAGACGACTTTCTTTTTTTTTTCACTGAAATTATTACTCCCCAGTGAATTCATTATTATTCCAAAAATCTTACGAACAATTCGGCACAATCCAAAAAATTTATATTTAGATATATTTTTTTATTTGGAGTCCTGAGGCAATTTGAAATTCTTTAGTATTTTATAATTAAGTCCAGGGCCTTTTCGGGTTCACTGTATGAATTGTTTTCAATTCATCATATTCTCAAAGAATTTGAAATAACTGAAAGTTCTTATTCAATAATTAACGTCCGACGCATTGACAGAGCCCCAGAACAAATTGATAGTAATTCGTACGTGGAACGCATTAAAAAAGGCAATAGGTGGATAAAATAATAAAGACCCCGAGGAGGCGATCTAGATATGAATTCTCCTGATCTATGAACCCTGCATTATCCCCTCCCCAGTCAGCTTGTCTAGCTAGTCAATAGTGGAATCAATAAACAAATAGCTTGATTTATGATTTAAATTTGATTTTGTTTGACGAGACGGTCGTGGTTTGCTGTAGACCAACACATTTGCACACACGACACTGAATATATCGAATGAATATATCGATTAATGGGGCTGTCGAAGTATCAGATAATACCGTAAAACATCGAAATCAATCGTCTTATTTTCCATGATTGGTAGTTATCATTGGGATTCGATAATTGAGAAGAGAAAAAAAAAACAATCTTGCGCAGTATGAGAATTATACTTTCCTTTGCCTTAGCTTCTCCTGTCACTATGTATAACAGCTAGCTAAATATATGAATATAATCAAATAATTTATCGATTGATTAATCAATTAATTTTAATTACGCATGGCTCGAGTATTTCAGAGGAAATCAGGCGATTTTTATTATTTTCGTTTATTTGTCTGATGTATACACTATTTTCACGTATTCTGGTTATTCTGTCGTCTCTTGATCTATCTGCTGTTTTATGGATATCTTTTTCATTATTCTGTGTATTATGTTACTGTGTTCGTTGTACAGGGAATTTCGCGGAACTTTTTTTTTAATCATATTTTCGGTGGGTCATTATCTGCTTGAATCTTGCTCGCATGTTTTACAGCTGAATCCATTTCTTGTCGCTGCACAAAGAAATTATTTCAGAAGCGAAGTAGTGAGGTATGATTTTTCATATATCGATTGATCTCAATGATATATTTTTTGGAGATTGTATGGAAATTATTTTTTGACCGAATTTAATCAACAGAAGTTATTCAATCTTTCGATTGCTCTCGCGATAAATCGAGGGTAAGAGAAAACACTTCGCTTCTGATTTATTTCTATCAGATAAATATTACTTCATTCAAAGGAACACTCTCATTTAGAACTAGAAATCTCCCGCAATTCTCTTGGAAATGATATTCACAAGATCTAATTAAATCATTCAACAACGAAAAAGTAGAGGGTAACGGTAGATTTAGTAATTGGTCAGTTTTTCAGAAATATCTCTGAATCCGATAAAGATAGAATTTTTTTTGTTAATATCTCAGTTGTAGGTTTTATTCAGCTCTACAAAAGGAGTGGATGAAAATTCAGCTATCTCTCTTAGATTCAGAGATATCCCTCGAAATCTCGACTGAAAATAAATCAACCTGTAAACTTTCATTTCTCTGCTACTGAATTTTGTTGAATTCAACTTCTCTAGTCCCTGCCCCTTCTCCATTCTTTCATTTCATTTTTTCAATTAAATATGGAAGATTTATTTTATCAATAGCATGATTATGGATTTTTAATCGAGGAAAATTAAATTCTACAGCGAAATGGTGAAACGAGATAATAGTAGTTTTACATTTTCATTGGATATCGTTTTATTGGGAAAATTATTGATTTTAGTGAAAAATACCAGAAGACTTTTTTGTTGGAAATTTAATCAGCTATAAAAAAGTTACTCAGTGTTTTCCCCTGGAATCCATTGTTTCCGAGATAAATCGGTAAATACGAGAATCAAATTGTCCCAACTTGCCATTTTGCAGTTTAATTATGAAATTTAATAATTTGTTTATATAATTATGTGTTCGTGACACTCAAATTCAATTCTTATATTCGTAATAACCACAACACTGCACATCCAGCAATTTCATAGTATTTTGAGACCGTATTTACAAATGAAGTGATTTTTATTTGATTCTCATTCTACGTGCTGAATAGTTATTCACATGATACACATGATTTATCATTATTTTTCATCACCACGATCGTCTAATTCCTTCTGTTAATTTAGTAGAATCTTCTTTTAGTTGAAAATAATGGGTTTATTTTATTGTTTGAATATTTGTTCTTTGGAATTATGTGCAGGCGAGGAAAAAGAGACAGGAGGAAGTAGAGAAAATTCGAATGGAGGAGCAACAACGAAAACAACAGGTACACTAATTATTATTTATCATTAATATTTAATCTGCCTTTCATTTCTCTTTTATGGATGGTGAAAGAATTTTTTCCCTCTTCAATTCATATGATTACAATTTTAATTCGACAAATTATTAATTGACAAAAAAATGTGTGATTACAGGAGCGTGAATTGAAGAGACAGCAGGCAGTGATGCTGAAGGAACAGGTGAGTCATAATAAAATTAATTAACCTGATAAAAATTGTGATCATCGTAGATTGTAGAGTGTGTTGTAGTTAGCCGTGCATTTCATTGCTTTCCGTTTGAAATGAAATCATTGCAACCGTTGATTAAAAATATCCATCAGAGAATCTCGAATCTCCAAATTTCATAAAAATCACCGTAACATATCTGATAATTTCGCAATATTGTGTTATGACGGATAAATAATTCACTGAATTCAATTTTGTAAATGCGATTTTGTTGAATGTGAGGGTCGTTTGAGGTTTTTTTGAGCACTGGTGGACTGGATGGTGTGTTTTGTTGCTACAGATGTACATGCAGGAGCTCAGCAAGCAGCGCGAGATGCTCTACACCGTCGAGTTGGTATGTCTCATACCCAGAATATTGAAATAAACCAAACGATTTTATTTATTTATCGACAAAACACAAGATTAACAAGAGGAATATGCACTCGTACTAAAATACTTCCGAGCTCATTAACTAAAGCCAGATTAATCAATCGTTCATTACATGCCGACGTCATTTGTTGTTGTCATCGATAATTGTCATTTACCATTTATTTTATGCATTAAAAGAACAGCTTGGTACACCCCAAATGACAAATTTCAGCCCAAAATCGCGAAAAATATCGCAAACACTTCAATAACCACGGGCTAATCAAATTTACTAATTGGTACATCGATCTATCTCTGAAACTATCGATTCAATGTAGAAATGTCAAATGACTTTTTTGTAGCTTATTAAATTTCCGATAGAAAAGATCTTATAGTATTTCATTGTAGGATCAATTGTTTTCGAGATATATCGGAATTAAACACTAATTATTTCGATTTATCACTTTGGTGCTGATTTCGAATTCACCGAACAAATTCTCATCCTGACGTAACTCACATCAAGGATTTTTTCCTCTTATGCACGATACTCTTCTGATCTTATGCTCTACGCATCTAGTTATCTACTTTGTTTGCTAGTTTAGAGGTGTTGGTTTTCGTTACTCTAGAAATGATAACTCCTGTGGGGTAAATAGTGAAGGGTAGAGGGATGGATTTTTGATTGGACTTTGTTTTTCGTCTATTGTTCGTTCTAATGGCTTGCACCCCTCGACGCAGAGCTAATCATGATGACTTTTATCGAATCACCAGGAACGGGAGAGAAGGAGACAGCATATGGCGCTCATTCGAGCACTGGAGAATCGTCGACGAATGGAGGAACGAGAGAAAAAACGACTCGAGGCTAGAGCTGAGAGAATTGCAACCAAGGAGAAACGCGCAGAGCAGAGGAAACTCGAGATGGAGCTTGTGGAGCAGATTAGAAAGCCCGTGGAAGACATGGAACTCACAGGTTCGTTTATTCACCCTTTTGTCTGGATTTTTACTAAATATCTTTTACAATTTGACTTGTTATCCTTCACAACAGCAATCATTTATCATAATTTAACCCCTCGAATTCCAGATCACAAGGCTCTCCCCCAGGTGAAGCGTATTCCACGTCTCAAGCTCTCGGGTGAGGCATTTGCAGAGATTGTGATGGTCTTCGAATTTCTCCACAACTTTGGGGAGACCCTCGGCTTCGATATGGAGTCCTTGCCCAGCCTCAAGAGCCTGCAACTGGCTCTCCTCAACGACGAGGAAGCCGAGGAGGAGATGCTCTCAGTAATGACGCACCTCCTGGTGTGTGCAATTGAAGATCCAGGAATTCCCCAGCCAGCTCGTCACACCACAGGTCTTGGTCAATCGCTTCGCCAGGCTGACATCACTCATGCCAATATCAGCGAGGTATTGCGTATCTACCTCTACGCCAATGCCACCGGTGAGGTAAAAGCCCTGACTGGTGTCTGTCTTGAGCGTGAAAGAGACAAAAAATTCGCCGATCACCACCAGAATGGTGGTGACTATCCCTCCACACCATCCGGCAAAAATGCCCAGTTCTACGAGCACCTCCACAACAACGAAACCTGGAAGATGTCGGAGAGACTCCGTGATAAACCCTTCCTGGCCCTCAATCCAACGCACAAAGCTCAAATGCTAGGATTTCTGTGCAATGAATTGCTCCAGAATAAAGCTGTGATACGCCAGATCGAGGGTAGTCTGGAGACAGTAGCTCAACTGAAGAAAGAGCGTTTTGTTCTGGATACGAAAATACGAAAATTACGACAGCTTCACAGTAGAAAAGTCAGGATGGAGGCAGTGGGTGTTATCATCAACAAGACTGGTGATACGATAACAATTGAGAAGAAAGAGGCTGACGATGAGACAAACAATTCAAGTACTAATAATCCAACGATGGATACAACACCAACACCAGAGGAGATTCATCATGAGGACGAGGTGGAGGATATGTCGGAGAATGAGTCTGAGGGTACACAGCCTGAGGAGGAGGAGGACAAGAATCTGTCTGCTGAGGAGCTTGGTAAGAAGCTCGATAAATTACTAAAGCAGTCTGAGGAGCAGCTGCAGAAGCTCAATGGCTCGTCCAAGCAGCTGCGAGCTCATGTATTTGGACAGGACAGATACTGGAGGAGATACTGGGAGTTGCCTTGTGCTGGGGGAATTTTTGTCGAGGCAATGGAGAGCGCTGAGCCAGAGATTCTACAGCTGCAGGCTGAGCTCGATGAAAAGTGGCAGGGGAGAATCGAGGAGACGAAGGATAAAAATAGTTCTGGAATTATCAACAAGGAGGATGAGGAGGAGATAGAGGAGAAGGACAAGGAGAAGCCCAAGGAGGAGGCTGAAATCAACGAGAACATCAAAAAGGAAGTGAACGAGCTGAAGACGGAGGACAATGCGACGAGCGATGCCAAGACAAATGTCACATCCGAGGAGATCAAACAGGAGACTGAGATGGAGGTTGACATTAAGGAGAAGATCGAGGAGAAGAGTGATATATCGAATGGAGATAAGTGTAATCATCTTCATGGACTCCCCAATGGGAAGGATGTGAATGGTGGTGCTAACGAGGTGGATATGCCCTGGTTCTCAATTCTTCCTCGTGAGACGTGTGACACTTCAGGACCGAGTTCTAAACAGATATTTGGAATTGCTGAAAGTGCTGAGCTCAGGATACCAATATTTCCACCACCAGCTAGTCCTGGATACGAGAGATGCGACAGTCCAGCTCCCCTGATTCTCACCCAGGACGAGGCAGCACAGTTGGAGTACCTCAAGGTTCATGGGCTGCCACCTCCTGGCGAGGCTAAACCCGTTCCTGAGGATTTGAGGTATGGCTGGTGGAGGATTTCCGACGTTGACACATTTCAGGAGCTCCTGGAGCACCTCCATTCACGAGGTGTCAGGGAGAAGGAGCTCAAGAGAACAACGTGGGCCACGATGGAGTCATTTTTAGCTGTCACTGGAAGAATTCATGTTGATCCTGGTAATACAGCAGCCACTGATCTTGGGGCTGATGACGAGGAGGAGGAGGATGAGGAGGATGAGGTATCGAGGCCTGACAATCCCGCCGATTGGAGTGAAACTGTCGCTGTTAGGGTTGATGCACAGCTGCTCGAGCAGGTGGAGGCACTCGAGGATAAAGTGGCTAATGCCAGTATGCAGGTGAAGGGGTGGAAATTACCACCGAGGGCGGGCAGTGAGGAGGCTGATGAGATTGAAAAACTACACGAGATGGAGAAGGTGAATGCTGTGGAGCAGGCGAGGCAGAGGCTCTTGTCCCTAGAGGCGGCTATCGAGAGGAGATATCTCAAACCACCGTTGGGTGTTTGCACTGGTGATCCCAATTTGGCTGCACTAAAGGCTGAACAGGCTGCTGCTGCTAATGCAAGCTCCAATTCTTCTGATGGTGGATCTGCACCACCTCCACCCGAGGAGACAACACCACGTGGTCTCAATAATTGGAGGGAAGCAACTGCTCGTGCACACACCTCAGCCCAGCTGGCTATGGCCCTCTACATGCTCGAGGCAAGCATCGCCTGGGATAAGAGCATCATGAAGGCTGTGAGTACTTGTATTTTCTGTAATAATAATAAGCAGTTAGGAATTTATGTTTCCATTAATTAAAAATCAGTGGAACTTTCTCGATAATCCAGTCGTTATTTCTTTCTTAACTTCCATTTATAGTGAATGAATTTGGTATAATCGTAGCATTAAGAGGATTATCTATTTTTCATTGCAGAATTGCCAGTTTTGTCATAGTGGTGACAACGAAGACAAATTGCTCTTGTGTGATGGTTGCGATCGTGGATACCATACTTATTGCTTCCGTCCAAAAATGGAGAACATTCCTGATGGTGATTGGTAAGTGCAAACAATGCTATTTCAATTATTCCAATTTCATTGAATAAATTTCAATAATTCCATGAATACAGTAGCGAAGCTAGGATAAATGAATCTTTTTCGAGGCGAATTTCCCGCCGATAACTAGAAATCGAAGGAACATAGCGATTTTTTGGCGCAATCATTATTTACAGAAAAATATGAGAGCTAGAAAAACGATGTCTATGAAAATGTCGTCCGTCAAAATATCTTCCGTCAATTTCGAGATATTGTCAAAAGAACTAGCGTCGAAAAATAAATATAATAAATTCTTTGAAATTTCTTCAGTTTTCCTTCAATTTCAATTGCATTCACAAATTCAAAGTAACGAAGAAGAAAATAATTGAAATAAAATGAGCATTTAATTGTTCATGAAAATCATCGGGTGTGGAATAATTAACGATTTTGTCATTCAGGTATTGCCATGAATGTATGAACAAAGCGACCGGCGAGAGAAACTGTCTGGTATGCGGCAAAAGGGTTGGGAAGAATCTGGTGCTGTGCGAATTGTGCCCTCGAGCGTATCACACCGATTGCCACAATCCCGTCATGCCTAAGGTATTTATTCAATCGAAAATATCCCTGCGTTCCTCGCGCGACAAATAAAATCAATTCTCATCATTTCATTCTTCTCCCCTCTACAGATGCCGAGAGGCAAATGGTATTGCTCCAACTGTCACAGTAAACAGCCAAAGAAACGTAACAGTACAAGAAGGAGTCATAATAAAAGTGGAGGCAACACCAGAGACAGTGAAAGTTCCGATCATCCGCCCGCTAGGTGATTACGCTAAAAAAAAAACAAACAAAAACAGAAAAATCATTCAAATGTCTTTATAAGAAACCGAAAGCACACGAATCCACCACCAAACAGAACGAAAACAGCAAAATCGATTGATTAATTTAATGACTAATTTAATACTAATCATGTCTAATAAAAACCTATGAATTCAGAAGAATACGTATAGTAAGATATCACGTGAATGAACCATCTCCGTTATTGTAAACATCTGTTGAAAACCGTCACAGAGATAATCCCCTCGGCAAGTGTTGTTTATTTAATTTAATTTCTTAAGGATGTTTATCCACTATTTTTTTTTTTCTTTGAAAGCCCGAAACTCTTTTTTATGGATAGGAAACACATCGAAATTTTTCAGCTGATCAATAAACACTTAACAAAATTTTCTGGTGTTGGAAAATAATTAATTGCAATCACTCATCCACAATATAAATACATTTTTCATTCTCAAATGCTAGGAAATGAAAAATTAATACTGGGAGATGTGGGGAAAAACTTATTTTATTTAATAAATTGTATGGAATTTATTTTCAAACTCGGTGGAAATTTTATTGGAACACTTTATTTATTTGTGGTAACAATTTTGGGTTTATGGATTTTTTTCTTCCCACGTGAAATTTTTTTTTGTTATTCTGTAGATATTGGACATTAATTTGATAATCTTCTGCTGAATTTTGTTTCTCTTTGTAAAATCAGTAGTGAAAAGGTAAATATTAAGAGAATATCTCAGAATCTAAGAGAGACCGTGAAAATTTTATAAATACCTTTTTCGTACCTCTCATTCCACTCTACAAAATAGTTCTCAACAAAAATTTCACCATCTCTCCAAGTCTCAGGGATATTCCCTCCTTCACCTTTTTGTTACAAAAAAAAAATTACATAGAAATTTGACACCGAATAAACTGCACAAAAGCGAAAATCTATCGATTTCTTAATAAACGCATCTATTTTCACATTGCAGTAACGAGCAATGTGAATTTTTCCTAGATCTCATAGCAAAAAAAAAAAACTGACGTGTGTCGATGGTTTGAAGTTGGAATGAAAGATTGAAGTTGTCTAGAAAAAAATGTGCCTGAAGAATAGAAAATGAAAAGGAGTATTGGTGAGAGTTCTGGATAAACATTCTTAAAGAATAATGAAATTCTTGATCCTTCTGTTTCTTTTTAATTTGGTTAAACGAATTTAAAGATCAAAGAGGTCCTGTACAGTCAGATATCTAATGTTGTGTGTCATGCAGGGTGTTCCACGTCCTCGATGGAGTTAACAACGTTACGAGTGCCAGTCGTTGACGTGAATTAATGGTACGTTGTTCAATGAATAAATCGGGACACCCTGTACGTCAGTATATTATGATAAATCAACAAACCGACACACTATCGATTAAATTCAATCGTTTTTCTTTTGCATTGGCACGTAAAAAGGTCGTGGGGGACGGTTCTTGCCGAGATGAAATCAGTGAAAATGATGATTATAGCGAGGAAATAAATAGTCACTGAGAAGATTGTGGTGAATTTATTGTTGGCGTCAGGAGAGAGTTACTTGATCAAATAACCGTATTGTTTTCTTGTTTTATTGTTTTTGGTCTGTACGCAGTCCAACGCCTTCAACGGCATCAAATACCCATGGTGATGATACTAATACATCGGAACCACCAACACCAACTGCATCACCCCGTAAAGAGCCTAATGCCAGGAATTTAACAAAGAAACAACAGCGTGAATTAGCACCGTGTAAATTACTCCTTGAACAGTTGGAACAACAGGATGAAGCGTGGCCATTTCTGCTGCCAGTTAATACTAAACAATTTCCAACTTATAAAAAAATTATTAAAACACCGATGGACCTCAGTACTATAAAGAAAAAACTCCAAGATACTGTGTAAGTAGAATTATCATTGTGGATTTATTTTTATGTGGAATATCAAGTGCTTCATTTTAACTGCTTTTTTGATTTTTCATCATTATTAATCAGTTCGTGAATAATTATCGGCAAAATCAATGAGATGTTTGTGAAAAAGAGATATGAGTTAAATGATAATACCAGATATTCCACTGGAGATTAAATAATCCACAGAAGTGAAGAAAATGTGCCGAATTGAAAATTGTCTTTAACTTTTTTTAGATATAAATCACGTGATGAATTTTGCACTGACGTACGTCAAATGTTCATAAATTGTGAGGTATTTAATGAGGATGACAGTCCAGTTGGTAAAGCCGGCCACGGTATGCGAAGTTTCTTTGAAATGCGTTGGACCGAAATAACGGGTGCACCACCTCCTCCACCACAAACCCATAGCTGAGGAACGGGGAGATCGCGCAATACTTGTAACAGTTTTGCGCATTTTTACTACTAAAAACAGAGAAAACAAAACTAAAAATACAATGGAATATCTTCCTTGTGGAAGATTTGAGATTCATTATTCATTTGTCCCGATAAATAATCACGTTTTAGTGGTTAAATCCATATTGCCAAGTTAATTATTCAAACATTCAAGAACTGACATTCGAAAATAGAATACTCAAATCGAAAGAATTCAATAGAATTACGACCTTCTAATTCAGAAAGAGGCAGTGGCAGTTCAAAATGAAAGGATAAATATTGTATATTACCATCACTGTACTTACGAAAGAAAAAAAAACACAAAAAAAATAATAATAATACTTTAATAAATAATAAGCTGCCTAAAGCATAGATTGTAATTTCAGGTTGTATGATATTTAGATGGCGTTGAATATAGAATTCTCTTTTGGTTCATTTTATTAACGAATAACTTAGGAATTAAGTGATAAGTGATGAGAGAGTTTATGTAAATATTAGTGTTGCGCAGGAGAATTTGATTTATTCTGCTGCATTTCTCATCGAGACCGCTGTCGAATGGGAAAATTTATTTAAACTCTGTGTCATTCCATCGATTTATTCTTTTCATCGTTTCCTTCACTCAGACCATTCAATTTTATTTGTTTAAATGCTTGACGATTCCTATGACTGAATAAACGAGAAGATTACTCATGTGTTCATGATTTTATCAAATTAATTGTTGAAAATCATTTGTTTTTCCTTCTGTTTGAGAGCTGTAAAATATTGTATCGACCATTTTTATCTTCTTTTTTTTTTGTGTGTGTAAATTATTGACTCATATTGCGTATTATCCAGATGATTGAGTGAATTCGTAGTGATGGTATCGAATAAAAGAGAGATAAAATCAAGTGAGAGTTTGAGAATAGAAGACATTGAGAGAATTATAAGTTGGATTGTAATTTCATTGAATTGATTGCCTTATTTTCTCGATTAGTGGGAAAATTACACCAGAATTCAATTGTTGCGAATAAATTTAATGGCTAGAAGGACGAATTAAGAGTAAGTTTGTTTGGTGAATTAATCGATTGTATTTGGAGGTGAAAATTTATCAGTAAAGAGTCCCGTGTGAGAAGAAAAACTATTCCCTTTCCCCGCTTTTTATACAAGAATTAGAGGATGAGAGAATTTAGTTGATAAACCGTCTGATATGATATAAATATATACATAGTATTACCGAGTAATTTGTAATAGTTATTACAATTGGCTCGATACAATGCCGATTGTCTCCGATTGATCGATATCGTTGAAAATATAGATGAAGTGACGTTAAGGTATGGCGCGTGGATAAAAAATCCTAGGAACTCGTAAACTTATTATTGTCTATATAGTATAAATGTGAGCTTACGAAAGGAATAAATAAAATGATGACAAACAGATTATGATATATTTAAAATAGTTTCAACTCACGAATGATATTTAAACCCAGACTTAATTAATGTATTACGAAAATTCAAATAAATAAATAAAGATAAATTCACGTAGACGGAATTTTTGGGGGAATTAGTGCTCCGTGTAACGAGAATATTGAGTCAATGGGTTTTTTTATTTTTTAATCTCAATTGTTACAATTATTTCCCATTCCCACTGGTGTTTTGATTATTCAGTTGAAAAATCGCTTCGAAAAAATGCGGGATAACGGAATCTTTGACTTACGAGTTAAATATTCCAGGAAATTCGTTCCTAAAAATTATTGATAAAGTATTTTTTTTTTTCTATCCGTTCCCCTCGTCTGTATTTTTAAAATCAGTCTAGATTGTGTTCAATTGATCAATTTATTCCTGATGTATAAATATCGACGGAATTATCTGCGTTATTTCTCCGGCTGCTGTTATAGAGTTTTTAAATTAATTAATATCGAACCATGGACATTCTCATTATTTCTGGAGAATCTGGGTGAAGGTTTTTAAAGATCCCATCGACCTTCCCCTCCTCGCCCCACCATCCATGTGTGCAGTGAATCCGAACAGCTGATCGAACTCGCCATTGAGATCTACGATTGAGGTTATGAGAAGAAATGCATTATGTTGTACTGACAATCTAAATGAGAAAAAAAAATGAAAATTGTGTTCTATAATCACTGATGAGCCCCTGAATGCCTGGAACGCATGCTCACGTCAGACAAACAATAAATCAGTGAATTCAATTCCCAGCAAGTGGTGATGACGGTTCTCGATAAATTTCGCCGGTATGTGGGCAGTAAGTAAATCGATCATCAAAATCAAATGAATTGATTCCAATTATAAAATCCATTCTCATATTTTAAAAATATATCACAGGAGGTAAAGGACAAGTCGTCCTGTGTTGTCCTTGGGTTTTTCAAGGATACCTCAATTTCTTTCAGAACATCATTTGCAAAGAGATATAAGAGCTATAAAAAATATTCTTGCCAAAATTTCAGTATTTCTTTTGGATTCAGAGGTAATTCGAAAGAACTTAATGATTAGCAAAATTGCAACGCAGTAATTTTTTACATTATCAATTAACATTCTACTTTGAAAAATAGATTTTCATATTTTGCAATATCGACTTTTTCCATTGCAGAAAATTACATAAGAATTTTATAATTTTTTCAGGATTTCTCACCCTTCACCCCCCATTGCACATGGTAATCTGCAATCATTCGAGCTTCATCCCAAAAAGAGTTCTAATCGTATCGAAAGTATCGCGTTATCAAGTCGAACGGATTCGCGAGGGTGACATAAGTGACGATGAATTCAAGAAACGAGTCCTCCAAAGGGAAACGGATTACGAGAGAATGGTGGAGGGACATCGAAAGAATAAGAGAGTGCAGATGCAAGTGATTGAAACCCTAAAAAAAAATAAAATTGATTTCAAATTAACAAACCGGCTGACTATTGACAAGCCATATTTTGACTGGGCTGACCTCGTTATCGCTACCGGGGGTGATGGAACTTTTCTCCTCAGTGCCAATCAGATTTTTGGCAATCAGAAGCCCATATTAGGAATTAACTCAGACCCTGACACTTCCGAGGGGTTCCTGATGCTGGGAAAAGAGTATTCCCGAGATATTCCAAAGATATTTGAATTACTCAGAGCTGGCTCTTATGAATTCGTCATGAGGACGAGAATTAGGGTGACCCTGAAGGGAGAGGGTATCTGGGGTGCTCTGTTTCATATGCATGAGGACGCCAGGATACCCGGAAAGGAGGAATTTTGCAAGAGCAAAAGTACCTCTGAGCGTCGATTACCTTGGCTCGCCTTGAATGAAGTAAATTTTAAAATAAGGAACCAAATAATAAATAAATAAATAATGAATTTTGAAATAATAAACGAAATAATGGTTTTCAGGTATTCATCGGGGAGGCGTTGTCCGCGAGGACTAGTTCCCTGGACATTAGAATCGACAATAGAAATGACTTTCATAAAGTCAAGTGTTCAGGGCTCTGTGTGAGTACAGGGACTGGATCTAGCTCCTGGTATAAAGCCATAAACAGTGTGACACCCCAGATGGTCAGTGATCTTCTCAGAGTGGCTCAACCTGAAAGGACATTTTCCGACGAACAAATTGATTGGATCTGCCATAGTTTTAACAACAGCCTTCAGTTTTCGCCAGGTATGAGAGATTTGACAATCTATCTCCTCCTCTAACACTCACAGCGAAATTTTCTCACTAAAATTTCAGTATCTCTCTTAGCATCGCAGATATCGTTTATTATAGCGTATTATTTATTAATGATGCTTTCAGATGATCCGAAGATGAGTTACGCTATTCGTAATATCATTGCCAATGACATGTGGCCTTTACCAAAGACAATCAACCAACGTGCCTACTGCAATACCTTAACGATAAGATCGCAGTGTGACGATGCGGGATTAGTCTTTGATGGTGGCATAGGGGTACCCTTCAACGTGGGTACATCTGCTATATTGGAGACCCACGACGAGGATCGTCTCCGGACCATCGAACTAAATCAGTGATTCTTATTGAAAAAACAGCAAATGGTAAAGTGACAATTCGAGTTTACTATTCTTAAATTATCCATTTATTTGCCAAATTTATTATTTTTAAAAACAGATATTTCTCTTAATTATCTCGAAAATAATGAATTTGAGGTGAAAACACTAGAGAATTTTTTTATACTTGATTAAATGCCTGACAAAAAAGCCTCTTGACATTTTATCCTGAAGTCACTAGGTTGTTAGATTAATTGATATCCGAGAAAGCTGTAAAATTCGGTTGATATCACTTTACCACTGCTACTGAAGTAATTTATTAAACAACCATATTTTATTTTGTATATTTATACCCAATAAATTTCTCCGTTTATTCAAGTCTTCCGCCTAAATCCATTATTTCTGCGTCATCTTGTGGACAGTGACTGAAGTTCAGCTCCAGTCCACTAAACAGATGATTTTGATTGTCATGTCACGTTAGAGCTAGTGTTTATAGGTGATAAATCAGGAGATTGGGGCACGAATCTGATTTTTAATACACAAAATCCGATCATTATCGAGGCATGAGTCATTTTGACATATAAACGTGTGTCCAATGGTGCGAATTCAGTTGTAACAATGACACTGATTCATTAACTCGATTTAACAACTGCCCACAGGTACATTTGTATTACGAAGAATTACAAATGAATGGAAGTTCGTTGTTTATCGTCAATTGTCGATCGTTCTGTTATTTTCATTTTTTTCAATTACTCTCGTTCAAGGACAGACGAATCTCTTCTTTCTGTAGGTTAGAGGAATACTAGTAATTAATGCAATTGACAATTGTTGTCTGTTTGGTTGTGAGTCGTAAAACCGATTTTTCTTCAATATATTTTTGAATTATTATTGAGGGGTAGAATGTAGATGAAATTAGTAGTTGGTTGATGGAAATCACGATTTTTAAAAGACGTTACATTTACTTCCCAAAAATCCAATCCATTATTCCAAATTTTCATCCCCCAAATCTCGTCAGGTCATGGTACAGTCCTCAATCCTGAATAGTACCACAAAAAATTCATCGAGATGATGACCGAGGAGGACAGGCAGATCCGAGTGGCTGCTGAGAATCTTCTGAGTGGTTCAGTCCAGTCCCAGAGGAGCTCTTATCAGCGTAGCATAAGCAGCATCAACAGGGACTACGTCGTCTCCGAGGATTTGATAGCTGGAAGTCGACACAATGGCCGAATGTCTCCTGTCAGAAGATTCTTTTGTTTGCTAGTCACTTTTGATTTGCTCTTCACTTGTCTCATGTGGCTCATATGCACTACAGTAAGTATTCCAGTGATAATTCCCGAACAATTATTTAAATAAATTTCCATTGCAGATAGCAGGGGAGAATATCACAACAGCTCTCATCCAGCAAGTGGTCCACTACAACATCCAGACTTCATTATTCGATATTGTCGTAAGTCCCATCAAAAATTGAAATGTTAAAGAGATCAGTCGAGTTTGTAAATGACAATTAATATGAGAAACCACTGATTTTAGGAGAAGATCTCAGAAAGCAATTTCTCTCGAAAATTTAATCAACTATAGAAAACTATTTAACTATTTTTCTCTTGAATTGATAACTTTCGAGATAAGTAGATAAATATGAAAAATGGGAAATTCGATTTTTAATTTCGCTACTTCTTCACTGAAATATTAAAATGCATGATCAATTTAATTAATTAAGTAATTAATGAGAGTTTCGATTCATTGAAATTCGAATGAATGAAAGAAACTTTGATTTTTTTTTACAATCTGAATTATGCTTCATTGCGTAATAATGGGGAATTACGTTTAGATGTTAGCAGCATGCAGATTCATAATTCTTCTCTTGTTCTACGGTCTGCTGTACATAAGCCACTGGTGGAGCATAGCCGTGAGTATTTCTATTAAACAATTTCATAATTTATTACACGATAAATGCAAATACTTGCAGCTCACCACTGCCACAACGAGTGCCTTCCTGGCAGCTAAGGTCTACATGTTCAATGTAAGTGATTAATTATTGGAGAATAATTCTGTAAAAATTCTTGATAAAAATCGAAATGAAAAACTGGCTGAAATCGTTAACCGAGTGAAAATATTTGTTTTGAGGGACTGATTACAGTCGCCCTGCACTTGTTTCAGCTCAGGTGACAGATTGAAAGTCACAATGCCTTTCAAGAATTCTGGAGACTCTTCTTCATTCACATTTATAAATTATAACGAAGAATTTCAAGAATTCTAGTGGTTTCCCTCTTGATTTAACTGAGCAACTTTATCTTAACATTAAAAAAAAATTAATTCAAGGGTAATAATTTATAATAGCAGAATAATTTGTACAGGAATATGACAAATTATTGATTTCCAAAATAACCCCAGGAAATTTGTGGCGTTCTCAAAAAACATAATGGGAATTGGTGAAAATTAATTGAAGTTTCATCTGCAGTGGAGTGGTGTGACACAGCCAGGGTTCCAAGCTCTTCTCATCATAGCTTCATTCGTCCTCGCGTGGGGAGAGACTTGGTTCTTCGATAGTCGTGTTGTGCCGCAAGAATCTCAGGCCAGACAATGGATAATAAGTAAATCCTTCGTTAATTATGCATTTCTGCGGAATGAATTCCTTTATTTATTTATTCTCAGATGCTGTTGATTCTGAACGATCACCACTGCTGAGACCCGGTTTCGATGGCCCTCCAAGCCGCATGGCCGAGAGTGTGGGAAATTTCTTTACACCCATGGACTCTCCCACACACTCGGACGACGAGGAACCTAGGGCTTTTCGGAGACGAGACACCAGGAGTGACGAGGATGTTTCTAACAAAATTCCCACCATGCCTCCATTAACACTCCAACAAGTCAGTGAACAAGATATTTCCCATTGTAATAGTTATAGATTTAATACCCAGATCTTTCAAAGGCACGAGAAGATATTGCATAATAATGATAATAATAATAATAGCAATTAGTTAATGGTATACGACGTTTTGTGGTGGTGACATCATTTCCACGCAATTTCTCTTCATTTTTGTGATCCTTTTTCAAGTTTATAAAAAACGCTGAAAAATGTTCGCACCCCCTTGAAACTTCGCGAGTCATTGAATAATTACAAAACGCAAAAACTTGATAATTTTTTACGTTCACCTCATAGTAAATTTGACAGTAAAAGGGAAAAACGTTAATTTTAATTTTATTTTTTTTTTATTATTTTTTTATTTTTTAATTTTAATTTTAATTTTAATTTTTAATTTTAGCTATTATGGGTGTTGAGAACACCCTTAATTAAATTTCGCTCACAAAAAGTGGTTTTTTTTACTAACAAAAAACTCTTCCAACGTCGAGGAAATTTTTTTCTCTGTAAATTACGATAAACTGACAAAGAGATTTATTAAGCCGGATGTCCATTATGAAAAATGATTGTTATTGTGTAGATCGATGAATACAAGAGAAAAGCAGCAACACTGATGGAGCAAGCGCATCATTTGTTGATATCCAACGACTGGAAGACGATAACGACGACTCTAGAAGGAGATGTTATATCTGCAGTGAATCGGAGTTATGGGAAAGTTGTGCGCATAGAGGTGAGACATTTCGCTACAATAAAATATACGATTTATCCTGACAATTATTTACAAAAAAAAATACAAAAATATTTCAATTCAATTGAATGACTCAATATTTCAATGTAAAAAAAAATATAAATGAAATGATTCATCAGGGGATAGTGGAAGCTCCTGCCTCGCAGCTCCTGGACCGTCTCTTCGAGTGGGTGGAGGATCTTCCCTCCTGGAACAAGGAAGTAACAGATGCCAAAAAATTGCAGGTTAATTTTGAACGTTAAATATTCCTCATGTCTCTAGTATTTAACCCGATTTAATAACGAACAGATTATCGACGAGGACACTGATATCGTTTATCAGTCAACAAAGAGCTTCGGGGGAGGCCTTGTGGGTGCTAGGGACTTTATCACACTACGTCATCGCGGTCAGTGTGGCGATTATTTCATCAGCAGTGGAGTCTCGGCTAATTCCGATGTTCCACACCGTAAAAATTATATCAGGTATCAAGGATTCAATCGCTCAATTTCGCCAATGACTACTCTGCAATGTTGAAAAATTATACAGTAGAATTCCGTTATAGTCGCATGTCAATTTCTGTGCTCGCGTATCTTTCGCTTTCCTCATTCTACCACTTCTGGGCTACTGGATGTAAATAAACCATTGCGAGGAGAAGAATTCCGGGCAAAATAAAGCCAAAATATACTTTTTTCTATGAAAATATTGACTTTACATTCAGTCGCATAAAGTCAAAAAATCGCTAATTTTTTAAAATCTCAATTAATTTATTAAACAATTAATTTTATTAATTTATTTATTATTCAATAAATTCATCAAAAGATAATTACGAATATTGCTGGGATGATGGGAATTGTCTGTGCAAGATGAGTTAGTTAATTAATTAAGTGGGAATATTATTATACCGATCATTTGAATGCTTAACTGATTTAAATTGCAGAGGGGAAAATGGAATTGTTTGCTGGGCAACACAACGATTAGTCACTCAAAGCGATAGAAAAAAGAATAATTGCAAATTCATATGGATATTGAACACTAATTTGAAAGGATGGCTGCCACAACGGGTCATCGATAACGCCCTCAACAGTACAATGATTAATTTCATGAGCTCATTGAGAGCTCACGTGGAAAACTTGTCCCCCTCATTCTCCTAAATACCACAACAAATACTCGAATTTATGAATCCCTAAAGAAATAGATTACAGAAAAAATAGATCAATGTTAATTTTCTTATGGTCTATTAAGTTGGGTGTTTTGAATGTGTGGACTATTTTTTTCTGATCTATTTCTTCTGCCTACCTGAATTTATAAGTTTTTTTGTGATAAAATTAGGCTAGATAGCGTGGAGGAAGCTGCGATTTCTCGTGAAACTTGGGGAATTTTATATTTTGTTGTCATTAACTGAATGGATTGCCCGAGGAGATCTATTGAAGGGAGTAATTAACGTGATGAATGGGTGAGTGGGAACTGTTCACTCGCGATTCAATTATGGGGCTGAAACTCTTTATATTGTACAGTTGTTATTGCAAGTGCTCTAGCATTTAATATTCTGTCTCATGTTTCGATTTGTGCAATGAGTTCTATCATTTCTATGGGATTTATTGATTGTGATTTCTCTCAAGTGTAAAAATAAATTTTTAATATTTATATAATGTTTGGGTTTTATTAAATTCCCTTTGCCAATTGAATTTACCACAAAACTTTTTCGATGAATTATAAATTTTTTAAATATCATATGTATATACATAAAAATTAGTTAATCACTGTCTCCTGCGCGCGACGTATGCTGCGCGCGTATATGTGTACAGTAATTCGGTATAAGCAATTGTACAATTTAAGTAAACAACTGTCTAATATGAATTATACCACATATAAAACGATTAAAAAACACATATACATACAAATTTTTTTTATGAAAAAATAGTTTGAGAAATAATTTATAAAAAATATTTTCATGCCTATAAATTGAACAATCATAATATCAATAATAATAATGATATAATTCGACGAGGAACTTTAACATATAGGACCTTTCCGGGCCATTGTCGGTTTATTCTGTAAACACAATCGCCAGAAAAATTCTTTTCGACCGAGTGATGAACAATATTTTGATTTTAAAAATAATAAAAATTAAAATAAAGATTAAATGACAAAATAGTAATTTATGCTAAAAGGATCTATCTGATCGATTGATCGTATTTTATCAATTGATTCGCGCTGATGGCGCGGATTTTGATAAAATGCGTTGCCAAAATACTTTTCTGACGATTGTGTATGCATTTATAGCTTGCTCTCAGGCTGTAAACTCACAATCTTCAGAAAACTCCTTTTCAGTCAAGTGACGAAATATACTATTTGCAGATGCGCCTGAAAAACTTAATTTTCTGAACGATACGCATCGATAGAATCGCGTTTCCCAGGCCCTGCGCCTGGAAAAATTTTGTTAAGCATGTTTCAGACCCATACCTAGCCAATATTCATGTTTTTTAAATATTTTGGTAAATCATCGATGAAATTGATGGAAGAAAACACGAAGTTTTACGGTAGTGCGAATTTTTTTGCGCATTTTCTCTACAGTTCTGTAGTTCTTTTTAAAGGTCTAGAAAAAAACGCAGAATAATGTTCCCACCACCTTGAAACTTCATGAGCCATTAAATAATGACACAACGCACAAGCGTTATATTTTTTCACGTCAATCCCATAATGCGTTTGCAAAAAAAAAATGAAAAAACGAATTTTTGAGAATATCCTTAAAACCACGCCGTGGAAAACATTACCTTTCCCCACATATTTCCCGATGCTTATCAATTTTGCATGTGACGAGGGATGATCTGCTTTCCACGGCTAGTCCTGAAAATAACTATTCCATCACAGCATGTGAGAAATGAGATTTTTACGCACACGGAGCGTGTGCAAACTGTCACTTTACGCACAGTGTAGCGAAAAAATCATTTTCATCATCATCCATGCAGCGAAAAACGGTAACACTTTTCGTGCATGTGGATTATTGTGCGCACATGGAGTATTGGAATGTGGATGCAAGTGAATAAATCATATTTAAGAAACAGTGTAAAATACTTGATAAGCTATTATATACTAAATATTAGATATTATTATTATATAGGGAATATATATTAGCACGATAAAGGCACGTCTTCACTGGAACAGAGTTATCCAGAGACTGACTATGATCACAGAAGCAAAAATTCTAACTGAAAAAACCAAGAATAAATGTTGAGTTAATAAAAGTTAATAAGAATAAAAGTTATAAGAGAAAACAGTCCTTCTTCGAATTTTAACATATGTTTAGCCTTAAACCGAGAAAGTGGAGAAGAAGCGATTATAAACTAGTCCCTTTCCTGGAACAATTTTTCCTAGTATGTCATAAATCTTTATCGATTAGTTTTTGTACAATAATGGAAAATCTGTCCTCAACTATTTCAACATGGAGCGTGCGTAAAATGCCACTTTATCCACAGCGTGTGGAAAAATGATTTTCATCAGCTAAACAAAGTGAAAAACCGTGACAATTCTTGGACACCTGGAGTTTTTAAAAAAAGCATAGGTACTCGAGATGCTGCGCGCGTTGATTTCGCGCAATATTGAGAAAGTACTCACTGGGTTATCTAGTCGCGGTACGTCGTCAGTTGGTTCCGCGTTGGGCGCGTGTGCGCCTCGTGAGTTCGCCACAGAATTCTTAATGTATCCACCAAAAATCACAATTCCACTTCCAGATCATCCACTACAATCATCACCCTAAAGCCGCTTCTCGTCTTAAAATTAATAATCATCGAACTATCAATAAACAATCGCTGACACACCGGTAACGAGGATTACTCCCATCGATTCGGCGAGCCTTCTGTGATGTTGAGATAAGGGATTTTATCATAAAACAATATCAACATCATCTCATTGACTCCATGAGGGAAAACTAAAGCGGGAAAATCTTTTTGTACGTAGGGATGGCGCCGTTATGGTGAGTTTCAAATCAATTGTTTACCGGGGAAACAAAGTAATTGCTTAATTTTATTCTTATTTCTGGTCAAATTCGTCTGGTCTCTGGCTCATGACCTTCTACATATTTAATGCATGTGTCCGCAATGAAATTTCCGACAATTCCGGCATTAACTCCCAGCGAAAATTCACCCACTCCCATTACCGTATTTTCCACTTATTCCCACGTGAATTGCACTTTAATTTCAGAAATAGTTGTTAAATCAAGTCGAAAATTCACACCAGTAATGGCATTCGCCCAGGGAATTACCAGATCCCGGTGTTTTGGATTACAATTCCGGAATAGAGTGGAACAATTGTTGGTTTTATTTTTATTTTTAATCCCACGATGGAATCCGCGGTGCGATGGAATAACGCGTGACCATTCGACCAGCGGAAAAAAGCGGTTGAGTTTGTTTGGCAACAAAAAAAAAAGGGGGGAATAAAAAATATAAAATGGGGAAAACTGGAATAAAGGGTAGTGTAAAAGGAGAAATAGTCACGAGTGGGCGGACGGGGATTCATCGTGTACGTTGTATTGCGATCGACCGGGCAAAGCCCAGACGAACATTCGGTTCTGTGTACGTGGGATTTAGTGTACGCCAACATCTGTATGACCATTCGATCCACTCGGCATTCAAGTTTGTTTACTGTTTATTGAAAACTCGAACTGGATCATTCGATTTGTCATTTTTCACGAGCCTTGAGGTTGTTTCGGGGCAAAACGTTTTAATCCATTCGGTTCACTTCTGAGGGGTAAGTTCATTGTAGTTTAGAGAATCCTATATTTTATTTTGCAATTTTTCCTGATGAATTACATTTGATTCAATCGTCGGTTGTACTTTTTCACATTTTGGGATGAATTTTACCTCATAATTTGTGGTTATTTTTATCGCGGTGCAATTCTGCTCATTTTTCGGAGAAAATTGAAAAGAATTGGAAATTTCTGATTGGGTTTTCTCGGAAACTCAGTAGATTTGAATTTTAAGGACTTGTGATGAATGGATTAATATTATTCCTGAAGTTTTAGACGCAAAGAATTGGAAGTTAATTATATTTAACTGAATCATCAATTTTACTTTTACAACTTTTGAATGAATTTTACGTGATAATTTGTGGTTATTTTTATCGCGGTGCAATTCTGCTCATTTTTCGGAGAAAATTGAAGAGAATTGGAAATTTCTGATTGGGTTTTCTCGGAAAATCAGTAGATTTGAATTTTAAGGACTTGTGATGAATGGATTAATATTATTCCTGAAGTTTTAGACGCAAAGAATTGGAAGTTAATTATATTCAACTGAATCATCAATTTTACTTTTACAACTTTTGAATGAATTTTACCTGATAATTTGTGGTTATTTTTATCGCGGTGCGATTCTGCTCATGTTTCGGGGAAAATTGAAGAGAATTGGAAATTTCTGATTGGGTTTTCTCGGAAAATCAGTAGATTTGAATTTTAAGGACTTGTGATGAATGGATTAATATTATTCCTGAAGTTTTAGACGCAAAGAATTGGAAATTAATTATATTTAACTGAATCGTCAATTTTACTTTTACAACTCTTTCAATGAATTTTACCTGATAATTTGCGGTAATATTTACTGATGCCTCCGGAAAAATTGAATCAAATTGAAAATTTATGATTGGGTTTTCTCTGAAAATCAATAAATTTCAATTTTGAGGACTTGGGACGACGTAATTTTACTACTGAAGTTTCCGACGCAATAAATTGGGAGTAAATTTCATTTAATTAAATCATCAATTTTATTTTTTTTCATTTTTTATTTATCACGCTGTAATTTTTAATTTTTCGCTGATATTTCGAGAAAAATTGAATAGAGTTAAAAATTTCCGGTCGATCTTTCTTTGATAATTAATCCATTTGAATTTTGAGGACTTGGACGAATGGATTTATTTTATTCCTGAAGTTTCAACCGCAACAAATCGGGAGTAAATTATATTTTAATGAATGAAAATGAATTTTAGCTGAAGAATCACGGAAATTTTTATTGCAATGGAATTTCGCTGATGCTTCAGAAATAATTGAGTAGAACTGAAAATTTATGGTTGATTTTTGGATTATGTCTGCGAATTTTCATAAAAATTATCATGACGTTAATTTTCTCCAGTAATTACAGACAAATAATCAGAGAACGTGCGTAAAAAATCCGCGGAAATGTATGGCCTGCGGTCATCTCCGATATTTCGTCGGATGCGTTATTATTATTTTCGTCCCTTTTTCCTTCAACTTCAGTATGATAGATGGTTTCCGGTAAAACTTATCTAATTTAAGTTCGCGATAAAAGTAAGAAAAGTGCACTACATCCTAGAAAATATTGTTTGAAATCCGCGACGAAAAATCCATCGAAATTCAATGAAATATCGATTCCAATATCGACAATATCGACAGACTCGGGAAATCGAAATGAAATCTCAAAAAAAAAATTTTTTCGTAAAATTCGATTAAAATATATTTTTTAATAAAAATTGAACAAATAATTTCAGCTCTGAACAACTCGATTTTTTCCTCCTCTATAGACTCATGTGCATAACTATTTGCATAAGTATTTCCAATAGAAAATTGAACAAAGACGTGGAACAACTTGAACTATTTATATCGAAAATAATGGTAGGGGTTATTCTTAGCGAGACGAGTGAATAATACATTCTGTACTGGATGTCGAGGGAAGATACCGATATTCAATACCCCTTCCAGTTAATTAAGCTAGCCTTCAGGGTATGATGCTTTAGAGCCCATTGTACGATAATCAATTCACGTAGATAATGGACAATCTGTGTGTCTTCCTTGAGATATTCCTTGAATGGTAAAGAACAAAATGACAGGTTGAACTCCTCTAGGTGAATACCGATGCGAATTCTTTTCAAATAATCTCTTATTCCCAGGGACAATTCATTAATTTTCCTAGTTACCTATCAAAATAACAACTAGAAATATTACCACTGGGATAATTATTCCTTAAGGTTGTTGTCGCGTAGAATTTTTTTTCGACAGTTTTCGTTAACAATTTTATGGTGAATAGTTTGAAAAATTAGCAACAAAATGAGCCTTTTCCGTTTGCAATTGACCGTTTTGAAGTTGAGATATAAATTGTTGAAATTCGAGTGATTGAACACGTGTTTAAATGGAGTTTTGCCGATTAGAATTTTTTAAAAATCAACGGCTCGACAGTTTCTGAAATAAAAAAAACGTGGAATATACATCGTGGGAGGAAATACAGAAGAAAAAATCAAATCGATTGACCGTTTGGTTTACGGAATATAATTATCGGAAATTCATGAATTTATATAATTGCAAATAGTTAATATGGAAAATATATAGTTATGCTTTAGCTATCCATGCACGATGCAATCAATCAAGTGAGACTATATACCGCTAAAAGATTGTGTTCTAAACTGGCCCGTTTTACAGCGGATAAACTTTTTACAGAGACTGTCGCGCGACAACCACCTTAAGGTCCGGGTAGACTATCTATCGACTGTCATCATTTGTTTAAATTTTATCTTTTTAGCTTAAAATACATTAAAATTTGGGATCAAATTTGTGGCACGGGAGCTAATCGAATGGTTATAAAAAAATAATGAAAAAAAAGAGGAAAAATTATTGAAGGGCGCTAAAGATATTGTTTAAAAGGGATCTACCAAGATTACAAAAAAATAATAAAAATTACGAAGCTTACCATTGTTCTCCAAAAGATTGAGTGACAGCTAGATGCAATAGTAAGCTACGTATTTTTTATTATTTTTTAGCAAACTTGGTAAATCTCTTTTAAATAATATCGATCTCTTTTTTTTTCATTTTTTTTTCATGTCCATTCAAGTGCTTTCCGCAACACAAAATTTAAACAAAAGTCGACGTTCGATAGATAAGGCCCCACCCGGGCCTTAATTCAAAAATTCACGTACCGTTTTGTGTCACTGTTTCATTCTACTAATGTATCATATAATGCAATACTACCTTTTTTAAACAAATTAAATATCATGATATAATGTTTATGATATATTATATATACTAGATATATATACGAAAAGAATAAATAAATGATAAAAATATACATTAAATATTCAATTTAAATTGAATTACATACCATTTTATCTATATATAATATATACTATATAATTATTTGTTTAAAAACAATTCCATGCTTCTTTTTCTTTCACTATATACCATAAAATATGCGCGCGTCAGTACCTAGTTGCTTCAAAGTATTGCAGCTAAAAATATTTCAACAAAACACACATTATTTCGAAACATTACAAGAACCAGGAAAACAACATAATAAATTCTCATATTTTTTATACATAATTGTCAATTACCCTCGAACTTTTACTCGCTACAGCTCTCCCGTTATATGCCAATGATTTTTAAAGATTTCAAATGACGAAATGACGTTAGGACCCTCGAAGATGGGCCACATCAGACCGAATCATGAATTCAATCGGTAGAAATAGGTACTCAGGCAGTGCTCAATGTGGTACGCAAAATATATCGATTTCTCAATGCATACCAAAGTAATCCCCAGCTCGCTCAAGCAAATCACAACAATCCACTACACTTAGGGATATTGTTTCAAAAATAATTGAGGTCAACAATATTTTGCCAGTGTAATATTCCTGCGCAGTACAAAATTTATATTCTAATTCTTTCATTTATTATATCATTGAAAATAATATAATATTGTAATATCTGGACTTGTAATATTTTCTGGGAATATTGTGAGAGTGATATTATGGTTGAGTTTAGAGCGGTCACCATTTTTTAATTTTTCCTTTGCATGCGAGAATTTTTATTAAGATCAAAAGTAAAAAAAATTGACATTAAATATTTTAAAACGTGAGATTGAAACTCAAATTAATGAACTTGATGTTTAGAGTTGTTCAGAGTTGAATTTATTTGTTTAATTTTTATTGAAAAATATATTACAATCGAATTTTAAGAAAAGGCCTTTTTCAAATTTTATTCGA